TTTTGCTATAGATCCTTCTCTCATCCCGCGTTGTTGGATCAAAGAAATTAGAAACTCCTTTCAAAACATCATCAAATACTCTATCTGGGATGGTATGGTTTACCAACTGCATGCACATAAAGCAATATTGATCAAATAAACTTTTACACCAGTATCTTACATTTGATTTTGCTTTGATTTAATGGTTGATTTAATTAAAAAAATAGTTGAAATGATTTTGTTGAAGAAATAGAGTACTTGATTCAATTTTAATGATGAAACAATCTGGCTTCATTAACTTTGCTTATCAATTTTTTATATAAAAATATGTTACAATAATTAAAATATTAAATTTATTTATTATATAATTAATAAAAAATGGCTTTCATCATATTTGTATATTATTTAGATTATAAACTCTAACATTCAATGAATTTTTCTATAAAATTAATGTATTTTCATAAAAATAAAATAAAATTTATTTATATAATAATATATACAAAAAAAATTATTTATGCGAAAAGAAGTATTTGACACAATAAATATATGCAAAAGTTTTTATTTAATATTGATGTAATATATAAAAAAAATCATTTGTTATATCCATTCATTAATTCAGTTGTTAAATTATATATCAAATTTGTTAAAATGTTCATAACATGAATATATCATTATACCATGGAAAAATGATTTGTCCTTTTAAAGGATATAAATTATGTCCTTTTAGCTGCTTATAACTATGTACTCTGAATAGTACATAGTTATTATATTAAAGGTATATTCTTTTCTCTTTAGTCAGACATTGTCGGCTAATATAAAAAGTGAAAAAAAAAATACATAATTATAATATTAAAATTGTATTTTTTTTCTCTCTTAAGAAACTGTCGGCTGACTGACATAGAAAGTAAAAAAAATTACTTTAACATTATATCTATGTATTCCGGAAAGTACATCATTATAAGTGGATAAAACAACATATCATTTAAAAGTACAAAAAAGTTTTCCTTATATATATATATATATATATATATATATATATATATATATATAGGTTTTATTTCTCTTATATATGTCACATAAGAAAAAAAATTATCTCCTACTCTTACTTCGATTTTCGTGTATATATATATATAGAGAGAGAGAGACATACACGCTAAAACTTCATTATATTAACAAGCAATATAAAGCAGGCATGCATGGTATATGGTATAAATAGTATAACGCACATAGAAGAAGCCAAATTCGTGGCATGCTTGGCGCAGATATTCAAGGGCAAGGAATCGCTGATCGATCAGGGTTATCAGAGAAGAGCAGAGAGTAATCAACAGCGGGTATTTCATCATCAGAAGCTGAATAGGGATAAGCATGATGATGATCTGCTAGCACTAGCTGAGATGAAGCATTGAAGTAACCTGAGGCAACATCCAATTTAGATTCGGAAGAGTATAATTGGGTTTTAGATGCTATTTCAGCCATTACAAAGATACGTACAGAGATCGAGAGAGCAAACTTTAATAACTAGTTCTACGTAGCTAGTATATGTTGAGATGCATGAATTTGAGGTATTCCTTCTACATGTATATATAGGCGTGTGGGCGTGAACAAAACCTATAGTTTATTTATAATTATTATATGTCCCACTTGCCAACTTGGCATTTGATATTACTTTTTCTACCGTTTAACAAACATTGCTCACATGTAAAATGCGTAATTCGCCTTACCAAAAATTAAAAAAAAAATTACGTAATATAGTTAGTTTAAGGGTTTGTTTTCTCTACAGTTAATACAGATAAGTTATTTGCATTGAGCTCAAAACAATATTGTTTTGGAGCAGAAATTAAAGTGTTTTTATAATTTTAATTTATTTCAGCTTTATAATTAAATTTTTTAATATTTCAACACGAAAAATGACATTATTTTAAGAATAGATGCAGATAACTTATCTACAGTAATTACACAAACATTCATCTGTTCGTATTAATAATAATTTGATTTGAGTTTGACCTGCCAAACATTGGTCTGTCCTTTTATATGACTTTCACCTAACTAACAAACATTGCATGCGTAATTCGCCTTACCAAAAATTCACATGTAAAATAAAAATTAAATAGTTAGTTTAAAAAGCGTAATTCGCCTTACCAAAAATTAAAAAAAGTTAGTTTAAAAACGACAAACTAAAATTGTTAGTAAGGTGAAAGTCACATAAAAGGACAGACCAATGTTTGGCAGGTGAAACTCAAATCAAATTATTATTAATAGGAATAGAAAAAATGTTTATGCAGTTACTGCAGATAAGTTATCTGTATTTATTTCCAAAATGACATCATTTTGGTGTTGAAATATTAAAAAAATTTAATTATAAAGACTATTATAATCCTGAAATAAATTAAAATTACAAAAATACCTTGATTTGTGTCTCAAAACAACGTTGTTTTGGGCTCAATGCAGATAACTTATCTGCATTAACTGCAGAGAAAACGAACCCTAAGAACAGAAACATATTTCTGCAGTTACTACAGATAAGTTATCTGCATTTACTCCCAAAATGACATCATTTTGGTATTGAAATATTAAAAAATTTAATTATAAAAACTATCATAACCCTAAAATAAATTAAAATTACAAAAATATCTTGATTTTCGTCCCAAAACAATATCGTTTTGGGCTCAATACAGATAACTTATCTACATTAACTGCAGAGAAAACGAACCCCAATAAAAAATACTGCTTGTCCCATTTTAAACTAGGAGTTTGCATTTGTCATTTAACATGATACAACAAACTTTCCTACACACACAACATTTTGTGAGGCCCACACTTTTTGAAGAAAAAGAAAAAAGAAAAAAAGAAATTACAGCACGCAATACAAATCTCTATAACATTACACAATCATTTTTCCTACAACATAATTCTTATAAAACCTAAACTAAGTAAAAGAAATATTTGTCAGGATTCTGGATGCAAATTGTTCTACATTTGTCTATTCTTGACTAATTTAACATACTTGTTTTTCCACACCAAAAAAAAAACATACTTGTTTTTCAGTATTATAGATGTATCGAAAATTTCATATATAGAAAAAAATAATATATTTATATTATTTTTATTTTTATGATTATTTTCTTTCATTTTTTCATTTTCTATTTTTTGATAAAAAAAAAATACAACTCTCGTTGTACTCAAAATGTGCTTGAATTTTAGGTTGAGTATAAGAGAATTTTAGGTTGAGTATAAGAGAATTTTAGGGCCTGATTGATTGTGTTCTGATTTTTTTGTTCTTAAAACTGTTTTGTAAAATAGTTATGAAAATATATGTTTTTTATTTTTTTTATTTTGAAAGTTAAAAATCAAAACAGAAAATAAAAATAACACAAATTGTTCTCTAAATTTAATTCTAAAAAAAATTTAGAGTTTTTAAATTTTTTTTACAAAACAAACCTTATTAATCGATTTTTTTTTTATTTTAAAAACCAAAAAGTTATTTTTAAAAACAATAACCAAACTGGCCCTTAATATCTCTAGTGTATTTTTACTATACTGATTTTCTTTTACCTAGTTCTAGTTAATACCGTGTAATTATTGGTGTATAGTTAGTATTGTAGTACTGGGTACACTGTATACCTTTCCTTGGTGCTTGTTTGTTGCAAAGTCATTATTTCCTCTTTATAGAGCTTTGTACGATTCATTAATAACAAAATCGGTGACACTTTTTCGGTGCCCTCTCTCTCTCTCGGAAATATTTTTTATGGTCGGGATCGCTCAATAACTTGGTGTTCCTTTTTATACCACCAATTTATTTTTCTCTTTTTTATATTTACCCTCTCAATTGACATTAAGGAAATATTTGATAAAAGAGATATTTTTTTATCAGAAAAAAAAGATTACAGAAAATATGGTGGATTTTTTTTTTCGGGTAAATTACAAAAAAGTATTTGGCATGCCAAAATCTTTCCGAGAAAGTTGAATTAATTTTATTGATAGTATATTTGATTAATTGTAAAATATTGATAGGAATCTGAACCAAAATGATAAAATTATTCATTTTTACACATTTGCTGATATATTGTATAAGGATATTTTGTATTTCAAAATGTAAAAATGTGTTTCTCAATTAGTGGGAAAAAATTAACTTCACAGGTGGAATGAGATTTTTTTTTTTTTCCATACATAGTTAAAAATAGAAATGATGAAAAAAAACTATCCTGAAATAATTTTACTATTACTTATATCAAACATGATAAAAAAAAAATTCTCCACCTCACTTTCCCAAAATATTGATATCAAACATCCCCAAAAAATAATGGTCCCAAAACATAATAAATGCTCTCCTCTCTCTCTGTCAGATTTTACTTCTTTTTCTTTCATGTTCTCACTGAAACCTAATACATTTAAAATGACACTGTACTAAAATTTAAGTTAAAGCGAAGTGTCATCGCAACACTGAACTAAAATTTCAGGTAATGAGAAGTGTCATCGCAATCCCTTAAATTTTTTGTTTTTTTTTAAAAAGTAAAATAAAAAATCAATAAAAAATTTAAAAATTTATTTTACAATTTTTGAATAGTATGAAATATTTTTAATTTGCCATTGTAGATTTTCTTTTTCTTTTTTTTTTTCGTTGTAGATGTTTCAAATCTGCAGATGGATGGATGTATTGTTGGTCACGCGCCGAATAAGCCCATATTATATTTATCATTGTTAGCCTCATCATGTTCTGTTCTATGTAATTTAAAGTTTAAGAAAAATATCTCTCATTTTAAATTACACAACGTCGTTTTAGTAAGTTTTTACATTTTCTCTTTTTTTTTTTTATTTTATAAATTAAAAAATGATAAAGTACACCAAAACGACGTAGTTTCGTTAAAAATGATACAAAGTTATGTCATCTAAAATGACAAACACTGAACCCATTTAATTTAGCTTTATTCTTTTTTTCCTTTTTTTCTTTAAATGTTGCGAGTCAAAACGTCGTCGCACTAGGGCTTTTTCCTGGTTCCTGGCCCCAATAGACTCAAGCTTGAAGATAAGCACCGCTCTTTCGTTTATGTTTGTGAAAGCTATTCTTTGATGGTTGTGGCGTTGGAGAACGCTTCCGCAGCAGCCACCGCTCTTTCGTTCACTATTCTTCTTCTCTCTCTGTCTGTGTGTTAGGGTTTGTGTGGCGTACTTATTGTGTAGGGTTGCGCACAGCAAAATGGAAACCTGGGAAAGTTTTGGAGGCCATATTGAGTTCAATTCTCAAAGGTAAATAAATCACCCCCTTTTGTGGAAACTGCAAAAAGAAAAGAAAAGAAAAGAAAAAATTAATATTTTCTTTTATAATTTTTAATGTATAAAAATCATGTTTAGTTAAGCTTATGACTGAACCTTATATTTTGTCTTTTGGGGTAGTTTGGGAGATGGTGACAGTAATGCATTAATTTTGCCGGCTAAGAGGATGAAGAAAAGGAAAGGGATGAAAAAGGTAAGGATAGTTGAACATGGTTATAAATTCATTGAATTTGGCTGTTTTACACATTTTGTGTGATCGAAATTCTCTTGTATTAGGAACATGGAAAAGTCCAATCAAATAAGAAACAGAAGTTGAGTAAACCTCAGAAAAGGAAGCTGAAGAAGTTGGAGGTTTGTGGGGTGTACAAAAAGGGAGTGCCTTTCATTGTGTTCTCTTCTATTTTGGGTCTCAGTTTGTATGGTTCCCTTCATTTATGCAGGATGATAAGGAGAAACAACTTCTGCTTGCAAAAGCCCTTAAGACATTAAAGTATGCCAATGAATTATTATTATGTTATAGTTTCTCCTTTAATGCAGTTTTCTGTGGGAAGCACCTAGTTGTTGATCAAAATTTGGAACAATTTTTTTTTTTTTTTTGGTTTCAGTGAAAACGTGCTTCCAGAGTATGCGTATCCACTTTTGCAGTCTTCATGCAATATCAATCGGGTTTGTATTGTCAGAAAGAGTGATATAGCTTTGTGAAAAATTATAAGTGATGAGACTGTTTGTTTATTGATGCTATTGTATATTGTAGGATGAGACTATGAAGGAAAAGCGTAGGAGGGCTGTACATTTATTAAAAGAAGGGTTGGAGGTTCCACATGATGATGAGCTGTCTAAGAAACAGGATTTTTCATGTAGAATTGAACCTGAGACAGAAGAGATTCATTTGGTGCAGGCTCAGGAAGTTGGTGCAGATATCATTCAACCAATTAGAACAGAAAGAAAAGTCTTAAATACAACATCTGTTCCTTTGGAGTCCTCTCAAGAACAAGTTCATGGAAATGAAGCTGTAAATTATAAATCTGTTGCTAAGCCTCTAGCTGGCATTTCCATTGACAAGCGACCTGATGAAATCAGAAGTTCTTCTCCCAGGTCTTGCTCTAATGATGAGGTAAAAAGCACCAAGTCAAAGGTATAGTCCCTGCTCAGATTGTGCTCAGATTGTTGGTGGGTGCGTGTAACCAAGAGACAATATATAATTCAACTGTGTCATTTAGATCATTTGATTTGTAGCCATATTTATAAAATTTATGAAGTAGTAAGCCTTAGTTCTTATACTTGTTTGCCTTCTTTTTGTGTATGTATTTTTTAGTACCCTTGTTTTCATCCTTTCATGTATTTGTTAATTTTGGAAGAAATCATATATATATATATATATATATATATATATATATATATATATATAATGGTAGTTAATTAATATGTCATATTTGTTATTAATTGTTGCCCTGATTTCTGATATCTCCTTTTTTGCGTATCTCGTAAATTAATTTAAGCTTTTTGGCACTTTATAACATGGGACAGGATAGGACAGAAGAGAATACAAATACCAGTTTCAATGAATTGAGAAACCTTCCAGAACTTTCTGCACATAGGCCTTCGACTGTTCCTACTGTTGTGCATGTATACAGACCAACGGAGGTTGAAGACAAAAGAAAGGATCTGCCCATTGTCATGATGGAGCAAGAGATAATGGAAGCTATAAATGATCATTCTAATGTTATCATATGTGGAGAAACTGGATGTGGTAAAACAACTCAAGTTCCTCAGGTGAGTATGTCTGATGCTTGATTATGATGATATCATCCATCATTCAAAGTAGCTTATACTTTGATTATTTTCTTTTTTAATTTTGGAAATGTATCAGTTTCTTTATGAAGCTGGCTATGGTTCAAGTAAGTCTCGTATTCACAATGGTATTATTGGTGTTACTCAACCACGTCGGGTGGCTGTTCTTGCCACAGCAAAGCGTGTGGCATATGAGCTTGGTCTTCATCTAGGGAAGGAGGTTGGCTTTCAAGTTAGATATGACAAGAGGATTGGAGAAAGTTGTTCTATCAAGTTTATGACCGATGGAATTTTGCTCCGGGAAGTTCAGGTTGTTAAATTATGCCTCACTATTTTTTGCATTTGTTCATTTTGAGAAGTTCTTCTATCGTGTTTGTATCTGAGTAACAAATGATAAATTTGCAGAAAAATTTGTTCAATTTGTGGGAAAACATGCCAATAATAAGTTCAGAGTTAGAAAAAATAAATAAATTATATTGACGATCCTGGCATCTTAAAACTCACAGTAAATTACTTTCTCACGGTAAATTACTTTCCCTCCTGTGAGAGATGCTCAAAGTACACTGTCCTCCCCTCTGTTTTGAAAAATCACACTCTCCTCGCCTGAGAAATGAAAATATAATATATTACACTTTTGTCTATTTTTAATGTAAGTGAATCTCTTAGCAGTGATGAACAATAATGAATGAATCGGGACATTTTTTCATTCTTTGTGACTTACTGTCAACAAAAGCTAATTTTAAACACCTTATTATTGCCATTGGGACTTTAGAAGGTAAAATGAAGTTTTGAACACTAATACTATCAACTTTGGGACTTCACCCGCATCTTTATTTCATCTTCTAAAGTCTCAGTCAATATTAGGGGTCCAAAACTAGCCACTGATGATGCTTCATAGGGAGAGAAAAACATCCAATGAGAGGCTTGTTCACATTAAAATGGACTGAAGCGTAGCACATATTAATCTCTCAGGGAAGAGGATTGGAATTTAAGAATCTCTCAAGGCAGGAGAGTGTAATTTACCTTAATACATGATAGAATCTTTGAAATTATTATTCATTGTGGAACATCTTAATCCATCATTCCTGGCAATCACTTACTTGGGAACATTTATTTTTTTGTGAAATACTCAAGAGTATTATTATCTGTGTGAATGTAGCACATTTTAGGATGATGTATATTTCATATCACTCCAGATTGGACACTGAAACTTGATTGATTTTCATTTGTTCATACCATGTTTATTATTATTAGTAGTTGCAAGTATCATTGCTATCACTGAAGCTGTGTTGCTATTGTTTATTATTTTTTTATGATGATTCCACGTTATACTGGGATATGATGCTCTAATGTGTTTGTGCTTACTTATATTATTTGAAAAAAAATAATAATAACAGAACCATATGTACTTATTTCATTTAACTGAATACATTCTGTTGCAGAATGATATTTTATTAAGGCGTTACTCTGTCATAATTCTTGATGAGGCTCATGAGAGGAGCTTGAACACAGACATTCTGATCGGGATGCTCTCACGTGTAATTAAAACTCGCCAAAAGGTGAATATGAGAGTAATTTATTTTATAAATGTTTACATAAGAAATTTAATTTTCTATTAGATCTTTTAACATATTAATTGTGCCACTGACATCCTATTCTGGATGCTCTTTTATCTTTCTATTATGACAGATTTATGATGAACAGCAGAAGATGATACTTTCAGGGGAAAATATCAGTTCTGAAAAAATGGTTTTTCCATTAAAACTTGTGCTGATGAGTGCCACCTTGCGAGTACAAGACTTTACTTCTGGAAGGTTATTCCATACTCCTCCACCCGCGATAGAAGTTCCTACGAGGCAATTTCCAGTTACAGTGTACTTTTCAAAGAAAACTGAGAAAACAGATTATATTGGAGAAGCATATAAGAAGGTTTTGGCAATTCACAAGAAGTTGCCACCTGGGGGCATACTTGTCTTTGTAACCGGGCAAAGGGAAGTAGAGGACTTGTGCCGGAAGTTACGCAAAGCATCAAAGGAGTTCATCATGAAAAAAGTTAAAGGGTCTGTGGAAAGTGATGGCTCTGTGGTCCAGGAAACAAATTCTGTTGAGGGAATACACATTAATGAGATCAATGAAGCATTTGAGACTCATGGAAGTTCAGCCATCCAGCAAACTGATAGGTTTAGTGGTTATGATGAAGATGAGGGTGATGTAGACGGGAATGAATCTGATTTTTCATATAATTCAGAAACAGAGAGTGAACTGGAGTTCGATGATGATGATAGTCTTGAGCATTCAGAGAATAAGAGTAATATTGTGGATGTCTTAGGACAGGAAGGAAGTCTTGCTTCACTGAAGGCTGCTTTTGAAAACTTATCTGGGCAAGCTCCATTAAGTTCCTCAAATGGGGAGCAGACATTATCTGTGGATAAAGAAGGTAGTTTAGACCAATCAAAAATTTCAAGGGAGAAAAGATCTAGAGAAAATTGCAGTCTTTCTCCAGGCGCACTTTTTGTTCTACCTCTTTATGCCATGCTGCCTGCAGCAGCTCAACTTCGTGTATTTGAAGGAGTCAATGAGGGAGAACGGCTCATTGTCGTTGCCACAAATGTTGCTGAAACATCTTTAACAATCCCAGGTATAAAGTATGTGGTTGATACTGGAAGGGAAAAGGTGAAGAATTATGACTCCTCTAATGGTATGGAGACATATGAAGTACAATGGATAAGTAAGGCATCTGCTGCTCAACGTGCAGGCAGAGCTGGAAGAACTGGACCTGGACACTGTTACCGTCTCTATTCTTCTGCAGCCTTTAATAATGAATTTCCTGAGTACTCTCCTGCTGAAGTTGAGAAAGTACCTGTTCATGGTGTTGTCCTCCTCTTGAAGTCCATGCATATTAAGAAGGTAGGTTTAATATTTTTCCTTTTTCCTCTCTGAGTTTTCATTCCTGTCTGCTTGTTGATATTGGGTGCTATCATTAGCAGCAGGGAAGGAAGTAGTTAATTTTGTACTTCTCCATTCTGATAGCTTGGCTATTTATCGTGGGCTGAGTGAAGGAATGGGATCCTTTTCAAGCCAAAAGGTCTTCCACTACATATGTCATTAACAAGATTGTATTCATTTAGACTGTTACTATTTTATTCGAAGGCATTATATGCTACTTATAATCTCAAGTTTGGTCCTGAGTTGTCAATTTTGTTCTACATCGCATACTTTGTTGAGCTTTTCAGTTGTCTAGTAATGTGATTTACTCAATTCCTGGTCAAACTGGATTTTTTAAAGATATTTCTGTACTTATTATTGTTGCTTCTCATTCAGGTTGCGAACTTCCCATTTCCTACTTCTCTTAAAGCTGCTTCCCTGCTTGAAGCTGAGAATTGCTTAAAAGCTCTTGAAGCACTTGATAGCAAGGACGAACTTACACTTTTGGGAAAATCCATGGCGCTTTATCCCTTGAGTCCTCGTCATTCTAGAATGCTCCTCACTGTTATTAAAAATACAAGGCACAAGCATAAATGTAATCCAAGTCTGCTTTTGGCATATGCGGTTGCTGCTGCGGCAGCATTGAGCTTGTCAAATCCTTTTGTAATGCAATATGAAGGAAATGATAGTAGCAGGGATTCAGAGATGTCTGAGAAATCTAGCATGGTAGACAATGACAAGGACATTGATAAAAAGGAAAAGTTGAGGAGAAAGAAACTAAAAGAAACTGCTAAAGTTGCACGTGAAAAATTTCGAGTTGTCACTAGTGATGCCCTAACCATAGCTTATGCTTTGCAGTGTTTTGAACAATCACAAAAGTCAGTAGAATTCTGTGATGACAATGCCTTGCATTTCAAAACCATGGATGAAATGTCCAAACTTAGACAACAGCTACTTAAACTTGTCTTTTTTCAGAGTGATAAAGGTGGTTTTGAAGAAGAGTATTCATGGATTCATGGAACTCTTGAGGATGTAGAACGTGCTTGGGGGGCTCCCTCTGAAAAATATCCTCTTTCACTGGTTGAGGAAAGGCTCATCTGTCAAGCAGTATGTGCTGGCTGGGCAGATAGGGTTGCGAAACGTATTCTATCTTCTTCTAGGGCCTCCGATGGAGAGAAAAGTTCTCATATTGTTAGGTATCAATCATGCATGGTTGAAGAAAGTATTTTCCTTCATCGTTGGTCATCAGTTTCCATTGTAGGCCCTGAGTTTTTGGTTTACAATGAACTATTAGAGACAAAAAGACCAAACAAACAAGGGATAACAAGTGCGAAGAGAGCATACATGCATGGAGTAACAAGTGTGGAGCCAGCTTGGCTAGTTGAGCATGCCAAATCTTCATGCATCTTCTCTCCACCCCTGATGGATCCTAGACCTTTCTATGATTCCCAGACTGACCAAGTAAAATGTTGGGTCATCCCAACCTTTGGGCGTTTCTGTTGGGAGCTTCCAAAGCATTCATTGCCCATCAGCGATGATGATCACCGAGTGCAAGTGTTTGCCTATGCTTTGCTTGAAGGCCAGGTGTGTCCATGTTTAAAAGTTTATCGAAAATACATGTCAGCCCCTCCTGAAAGTATTATGAAGAGAGAAGCATTTGGTCAAAAAAGGGTGGGAAATCTTTTAAGCAAGTTAAAGAGCAAGCTGATTGATAGCTCTGCTATGTTAAGAATGGTGTGGAAGGAGAATCCAAGGGAATTATTTTCAGAAATTTTGGATTGGTTTCAGCAGAGTTTTCACAAGCACTTTGAAGAGTTGTGGTTACAAATGCATAGGGAAGTGCTTCTGGAGACACAAGAACACCCTCTAAGTAAAAGTTTTAAAAAGAAGTTGAAAGGAAAATCTAAATCGCTACGATGATTGTTCAACAGTAAAGGTAAAACTGCATATCCAATTCTACTTTATTTGATTATTTGTGAAATCTAAGTTACTAACGTATTTTCAGTATTGACCCAAATTTTATGTCAAATCTTTTCCACGTAGTTTTGGTTTGGTAAGCATAGTTTTTTAGAAAACTAAAAATAAATAAATTTTACAAAGAATGTCTCTATTTTTTGGCTGTTTGAATATGGGTTGGGTTAGTATGAATGATTGAGTTGTGGGTTTAATATGGTGCCTAGGTTGCATCTTGTTCTAACCAGCTTAACATTTTTATTTTGTTGTCATGAATATAATGTTATCCTTTGCAGGAAAGGAACGAATCCCAGTTTTAGCCACAGCCAGTGATGACAAGAAAGTTGTGGGCATCTCCATCACTGTATTCATCCTGAACTACTACATCTACCTCAGTACACTAATCTGTAACTTTAGCATGATCAATCACCTAGCTGTGACAACTAATTTATTTGCAAGGGAGATGCTGCATGGAGTTACTCATCTTTGGTTTCTTCGCCCTCTTTGGTGTACACAATTTGCAACTTGATGGAAGCTGCATGGTATATCATGGAAAGTAAAATGAGAAAATAGGATGAGTTGAAATTGATACAAGTCGAGTTTGTTGCTTCTTAGATTTATATGTCACTGAATTTAGTGGCTAAGAATTTTGTAGTGATTAGATAATAAGGAGTTGGTTTTGGCTGCTAGTGAGCCAAATGTGAATAATTTGGTGGAGAGAGGAGTAAAAGCAACTTTGGAAAAAGACATTGGTCATATTGCTTAATTACACACCATTAACCTTTTTTGTTACGGTCCAAGGTCCTATTTAACCTTGCTGATTTTTGCACCATGTTTCAGAACATAGAAGCTGTTGTTTACATCAGCATATTGGAAATCTTTGATTAATGCCCCTCGTTTGTAGCTCTCTAATGCAATTTGATCAGAACGAGAATGCCATTGAAATTCACTGCACCTATAAAATGTTTCAGGCTTTGGACCAACCAGAACTGTCATTCGACAGCATAAAAAACACTTGAAGTTGTGTAGCAATTTATTAATCACAAACAATACCGAGATATCATACAAAGCACTCTATACAAAAGCAATATGTAGCAATTAATGAATCACAAACAATACCGAGATATCATACAAAAATTTCGCCCACCGTGGGGCTCGAACCCACGACCACAAGGTTAAGAGCCTTGCGCTCTACCAACTGAGCTAGACGGGCCTCGTTGCTATATTTAGCTTTGAAAATGTTTTGTTAGTTTGCTACTAGTTATTTATGGTGGCTTAATTGCATATTTTTGCGGTACTAATTTCGTAGCATGAATTTTTCTGCACTAAATCATACATGATAGGTTTATACATTAAGTATAATATATAATTTTATAAATATTTTTTGAAAAATTTACTAATTCTTTAATATCTTCTATATAAAGAAAAATGATAAGAATTTTTTTTTAATATTGACATAGCATATAGATTTTAAAGTGAATGGCAACAACTACATTAATATTAGGTTAAATTATTGTATAAGCTCCTATAGTTTTAGTAAGTTATTAAATAAATTTTTAGATCAATTATAAAAATATATTTGACAGAAAACGTAAATAAATTCATATACTTTGAGTTTTCAAATGGATTCTTATAATTTAACAAAAAATAACTGGTGACAAGTAAACACTTAATTAAAAAAATTGAAGGTATAAAGACTCCCTTAACATCCTTTAAACTATTTTTTTTTTGGTAAGAAAATTATTTAAAATTTTAATAAAACTATAAAGACTTACAAAATAATTTATTAATATTAAAAATATATTTTTAGTACCAAATTGGTCAACAAAGGTATTACAACTTAGAAGATATTTAAACTATTTGGACAACTTTTAAATCCATTGGTTTTACGATGAAGAAAAAAATACATAATAGTTTAATATAATTACTGACATCGATTTAATCTAATTCAAGCACTGTTGGACTATAATAGGGGTGCCTCTCCCAATATTGTTTTTTGTCATTCCTAGGACTAAAATTCGAGACCTCTGGTTAAGGAGAATAAGCTTACCACTTGAACCGATAATTATTGGTTGTGACAAGTATTTAATTTGCATGGTATTCTCCATATCCAAAATAAAATATACTATAATAAAATAAAAATTGCAGACACTGAGGCAATTAAGAATTGTGAATGTAGGCATCAGGTTGTCTTTGGGGTGATGAAGCCTGGAACTCTGGCAAAGCCTTGTATGTTTCATACAACCTACTCAGGATAGGGAATTTGGACTGCAAAAACCAAAAACTTGAAAATGTTCATCATATATACCAAGAGGCTTATAATCTCTTCTTCTCTCGGCCAGAAGCTTTTATAAACAGTTGTTTGTTAAGGAATTAGAGTTTTAATATAGATAAAGCCACCTTTGACAGCACCAGCAATTTTATGTTTCTGTACAATAGAACATCATGCTAAAACATTTCAGAATGTTAGAACTGCAATTTGTTAAAGCTCTTTCTAGTGAATGTTAACATGATTTTCATGGATGCTAACTGCATTCTCCAATCTGTTATGCAATTATTTGACCAATTGAAACAAACAATAGTTCCGAAAACCATCTCTCTCTTAAAAAAAGAAGTATCACATCTTTTGGACCATCTAATGTTTAATTATAATATAAAGGCATTTTAACACCTTTAATTAAATCATTGGGTCCTAATACAAGCTATGAAACACTGACACTTCAAAATCCCTGACGTGTCGTGTCCGACACTTCCCGACACTCACCGACACTTCCCAACACTCACCGACACTTCCCAACACTCCAATACTCGTTACAAAGACTCAAAAAAAGTTCAAATGTTACGTTGCGTTGCATTTTGAGTTCCAACTATTAGATTCATTGGATTACGATTACTATTTTATTGAGTTTAAATCAAATATTTGGTATATCTTATGTTTCTTTGCAAAATTGATAGGTATTATAAGTTTAGCTTTATTTTTTTGTTAAATTATTGAATATTAAATATAATATACACTACATAAATTAAAAATATTATATAATATCAAAACGTGTCCTAACGTGTCGAAATTTAATATTTTTTAGAATTAACGTGTCAAAGTGTCGTGTCGTATCCCGTGTCCCGTGTTGGTGTCGGTGCAACATAGAATACAAGTATGCTTAATTTGATAAAACTGATACTTCACTCTTTGATTTAATATCTAGTAACCATCCAGTGCTTGTTCTAAAACCTCCATTGAAAGAAGGATCACCAAATGACACAGCCATTCCATCATACTTTTATTTTTATTTTATTTTTATATATATATAAAAAAAAAGACAAGACAATAATTTTATCTCCACTCTCAACCGTTCATGCTTATGCCCCAAGAGTGATATAAAGAAACAAAAGAAATATATCAAGAAATCATAAGAACTATACTTTACCATATCAATATCAAACCTCTGAAGTGCCTGCGTAATCTGTGGGGCCAAAAATACATCAGCCTGCAGATTACAATATTTACTTTTGTTAAATATGCCTTTTCAAGTTGGAAGTTTAAGGGTTTAACTTCAAAATATCATAAACTTTCACTGTTTCCTGCTAGATCGTTAAATTAATTCATTAGAGAATATTAAATATTTTAAATAACAAAGATGGGCATGAAAGCTAAGATATGGCAGATAAACCTTTAAAGGTTATGAATGTGCAATAAGGACCCTTGGTTGCAGAGAAAATTAAAATTCAATACCAAAGGAGCAAGAATCTCAGAGTAGAGAGAATCATACAATACTTAAAACTCATTTTGGCAGCCATTGAAATTTTGTAATCCGTGATGGACAAACCCAGCATGTTAATTAAGGGGTATAATTGGAAGGGGGGAAATAAGTTTATGCAAGATTATGAGCAAAAGATAAAGAAAGGCTAATTTACAATTTCCATTTTCTGCCTTCAATAAATAGCTTAGCTACAAGACATACTTTTCAGGAATTATGTAATGACCACAATAACATAGAACAATGATTCAAAATAAGACATTCAAATCATACTGAAGCAAATCATTGTAGACAAAGAAGGCTTTAGAGCGACCAGAAGATACCATATAGATATGTTCCCCTGTGGCATATGTACCAGAAAAATCCTTCAATAACTTCTCAAGAGCTGTACATTGGCCAAGTAAAAGAGAAAGTGAGTGATACATTTGAAAAAAATATTGAAACAATTTCAAAAATCAAAGGAAATGATAGAGCTTAGAGTAAAATATGCTTACCGAAGAAACCTTTGTCTATGGTAAATTGGGCCCACAGTTCTGGTTCTGCGCCAAACATTTCCTCCATATCTTTCTGTTGAAATAAATTGTCAAAACTGAAAAATATTTGAGCACACAGCCAATCCAAGCATTTCAAATGAAAATAATATACCAGAACATTAATCATATGAAGAGGTTGTATACTGGAGTTGACAATACTTGCTACCTGTAAAATAATACAAATTTATATAATTTGAGCCTGTTAATCTATCAGTGTCAGAACATTTCCTTACAGGTTATATTTTCAAATTACAAATTGGACTGCAGAATCATTTTATAGTGAGCAAATTATTACAATCCCTGGTTCTCCTGTTCTTCTATATATCTTGCATCTATGAAAAATATTTAACTATAATAATTCACAACATGGTTTACTTTTTCCCACTGAATTCTTTCAGAAGACACCAAACCAGTAGGGCTAGCATTAAAAATGAATCTTGATTCAACACGCTCATGTTCAAATCCAAAACATCAATCATCTTAAATTTTACCTGAAGATTGAGAGCTCTGAGCTGAGGAACAACTGGCAACAGTGGCTTCTGGGTATATTTTTCCTCCAAATACTAACCAAAAAGGAAAAAGTGAAACATATAAAGTTTTCAATTTGAAGACATAACACCAAACCCTAACGAGGGACATAAATGAAACTACTGAAAAGAAACTCAAGCATCAGAATAACTAGATATTTTCCCCACTCAACTCCATGTTTTGGTTTAATATATTCTGAAATAACCAATGTCACCCAGAAATCGACCCCTAAGACTGATGTAATGTAATCAGGTGATAGAAAAATCATTAGTTTCCCGGGGGAATCAAGTTGAATACTCAATATTTTCAGTGCTTATAGCACTAGACCTACCAGAAATATTGCAAAAGAGTCTGAAACCACCACATTATCATCAACTAATACTGGAACATAATGCAGAGGACTTAATCTCTCAAACTCTGAAATTTAAGCATAAATGAAATATTTTTCAGTCAAATAAACATTACTAACAGGCATTCAGTTTGGCTCCAAAAGCACTACATTTATTAGAGCTCTGCATTCACCTGGACTGAACTGCTCTCCTTTTAAAAGGTCCACTGCTTTGTACTCATATGGGATCCCTAATCATATTAGATTTCAAAAAAGCAAAGTCAATCAAAGAAATCCAAACTACTAGTGTCCAATTGAACATCTTATGGAGTTATAACCAAATCCAAAAAAAAATGCAAAGATTTAATCAAACAGATGGAATTTCTGAATTCCCACCACAATTAATAATTAGTTATTCTTGATTAAAAAAAAAATTAAAAAAAAAAAAGCAGCAATGCTGCAATGGAGGTCATTCTGAAATGAGGGGGATTGAACTTGGGGGATCATTCTATCAGAATTTCAAAATTAAAAAAAACCCAGAAATGGAAAATGATAAAAATTTAATTTTTACAATTTAAATGAACAAGGGGAGAAAAATAAAAAATAATAATAATAATGCAAAAGGGGAGGGAAGGAACCTTTGAGACATAAAGCAAAACGGATACGCCATGAGCAGGAGCTTTGCCAGTAAGAATACAACACAAGATTGGATGGTGATGATGATGAAGCATAACTGCTAACACCACTTTTCTGCAATGCAACAATTCGTTTTTTCAAAAAATCAAAAAATCAAAACAAGATCTTTAATGGTGATGAAAGTGATAAATGAAAGAAGGATTAATCACCTGAATCTGGGTCCATGCCTTATTCAAGTGGTTAAATCTATTGATGGCTCGTCTTATATTTTTCAATGTAAACGGCATCAACATTCTACTTTCGAGAAAAATGGATATTACATTAGTGCTCTGCTCAATTCCAAGTTCCAACCCTCTTCATCTCCACAACAAAATCTAGTTTATGAAATTTTGGGGTTAGTTTAGTGTTATCAAAAAGACTTTTATTTTTCTCTCTTACTTAAGAGACTCCGTTTTTATTCTAAAGCAATTTTTAGTCATAATCACTTACTTTATTTTATTGAATTATTATATTAGCATACGAGTCATTTGTAACTAGAATAGAACCAGTTTGGCTTAACTTATTTTTAACGTGTCCTTAGAAGTTGTTTGGCCAAACATTTTTTAGCGAGAGTAGCTTTTTCTTATGAAGAAAAATAAAATAAAATCGGGAGTTGTTAGAAAGAACTTTATGGATGCTTCTTTTAGTGTTTTTTTCTTTTTCAATTATTATCTTTGACTTTCTATGACACGTTTTATATGATTTTATTTTGGGAAAAATATTTCTGTGTTTTTACTGTAAAAAAAAAAACTCTCTGTCACGTTCATATAAAAATGAATGGATATTATTGTAAAAAAAAAAGAAAAAAAAATTAATAAGACCATTCACTTTTTCGCGTGTCAAAAAAAAAAACTTCTACTACAAAAACAAAAATATTAAACCTTTTTATTTTTCTTTTTTTTTGACTTTATTCATTGCTTTCAACCTTCGACTTATTAGAGCATAATGTTATCTTTTGTTCTGGTTTGTTTTCTTTCCCTATTTTGAGCAATAAAAATGTTAAATTTAATATACTTTTATGCATAATATTTCTTATACATTTGTCACATGTACATGTTCAATTACTGCCATGAAAACAAGTGATTTTTTCCTTCAAAGTGGAGACAGTGGACATGGAATAGTCAGAGCTTCACGGTCACCTATTGCATCGACCATTTGACAAATAAATTAGAACCATTTGAAACATGTTTTGAACTGAACGAGGAAATTGTCCTTATTTCTAGTGGTTCCTAAAGGTAAACAACATGAACTTGTTCTGAAGCATGCATGAAAGCTGAGCTAAATACAAAAAAAATGACCAAAATTCAATGGTCCATCAGCACACCCTTCTCTTGGAGTGAATAACATTAGTTCATGGAAATTTGGGAATGTAACCAACTTAACATTTATCATACTACTGCATCATTTTGTCATGTTATAAACTAGACTGTGGAAGTTTCATATATTAAGCACGTGTGAAAGCAGAATTCAAGCTCCCCAAATTCTAATTCTTTGCAAATGAATTAGAATAGTTACAATGTATTCCTATATTTTGCCAAAACAGTTGTTTATACAAGATATCTAATCATTACTGGGGCATTAGAATGAAGCTCCCATATATTTCAGCACATTTTGTAAAGGGATCATCAATCAACTTTTGGTTCAGATTTAACCAAGAAATTTCTGGCTTCGTCCTCAGTAACTTCACTGTATAGTGAAACAAAATAACAAATTATGATCCACTTGAGGAAAAAAAGAAAACACTTAAATTAATTGAATCATAGGAAAGAGACAATGCAAAAACCTGTCTAAAGCTTCTGTTTTGGAGATCAAGGTGAGTCCATTCGAAGCAAGATATTCAGAGAAACTATGAAGGTTTTTCTCTTGACAGAAATTGCAAAGATGTTTAAGGAAATCGTTGAACTGTTTTGGTTCCTTCACACAAAAAGTTTAATAAGTTACTATAAATCTCAAATACAACCCAAGAAGCCTAGGCAGATAAAGGAAAGAAATTCAGAGGGATAACAGATAAATGAAAGGTTGAACAGGGAAAGTCCTAACTGTCTTTCATGTGCTGGAAGAAGGGAAATGGATTACCTGCTCAAGAATGCAACCCTTGCGAAGCGCAACTAAACACTCCAGTGCTTTAGGATAGTTATCACCTTCATGGGAGTCCTCTACCAGGTCAAATATTTTATTTTTCATATCCTTAATTGCTTTCACAACCCAGTCTGGACTATCTCTGCGTGAAATCATGGCTTCAAAATCTTGGACAGGAGTCAGGTCCCCAATGTTCTCAACTTTAATAGATGTATATCCAATGAGATTGGCAGGCTGAGCAGTAATGTTTCCTTTACCCTCTTCATCACTTGAAACAGATCTCTTTTCTCGCAATAAACGCCTTGACTTTTTCTTCTGCAAGATAGTTCCAATGTAAAACATAGTTGATGGTTGTAACGACTAGAAGAAAAGCACACATTCTTACTATGGGATTTTCCTTTAGCTCAAAAGATCTACGAAATGAGTCTATCATAGATTTGTTTTGCAAGAGCAGGTCAGTGTCAGGCTCTGTAATTTTCTTGAGTGTGTCATCAATAGGAGGCACCGCAGCATCTGGATGCTTTGATTTCAGCTCTAGATAACGATAAAAGCGCTGAAAAGATACATAAAGATATCTGTTAGCTTTATCTTAAGGTAACTTATCATTTTTTTTTTCTTTTTCTGTTTTTTTTTTTTTGGATACTTCAAATTCATCTCAATAGTAATTTCTACACGATGGGGTAAATAAGCTGATTAACTTTTAATATACAGGATCACAAGGATTAAGCATAATCTCTCCATATCTTACAACATCCATTACTAACTCTAGACAACAAGTTATCCTAAATGCAGATTCACTTCTCAAGTCACAATCATTACATCAAAAAAGAAAATAACCATGTCAAAAACGAAAATCCAAATCCTTCTGAGAGAAAAGTCAGAAGAAAAATGCAGCATGGAAATAAAAAACAAAATAAAGAAGACAGAAAATAAACTAGAAACAGACGAGTGGACAGAATATGTACCTCTAGGACTGGATTTGGTGTAAAGTCAGGTAGCAAAACTTCCTCTTTCCCATGCGGTGCGAGATCAAACGTTTTTATTAAGTTAGCTGCTGCCTCAAGCTGTTGTTCGTTTGGCTGCCACGATGCTGGGAAATTAGAGAAGGAAGGGAATTGGAACTCCCGCACATCCTCGGCAAAAGGAAGTACATTGAAGTAAAATGAATCAGGCTGTACAGCATCATCAAGAGAACCAAGAAATAAATAAATAATAGAGGTAGAAATGAAGCCTACAGATGCAAACCAATAAAAAATACAAGAAACAGAAAACCTACAATATTTTCTCTATCAGATACATTGGGTGTCAAGACCCCAATGACAACATTGGCTTGTCCCTGTCTCCAGACACAACGTAAAATTGCCACCTTATTCATTTCCTTCATAGCCCTTGCTAGTGCAGAAACTGCAAGAATGGCTTTTGTATTTCCAGGTTCAGCTATGAAAACATAGACATCTTTCATGTAATGGTGTCTTTAGAGGAGGACATTTTCAGACAGAAAGAGAAGAGAAATAACGGGTAAGGAAATCACCATTAACAATTTTGAATCAAATATGTTCTATTAAACTGTATACAATCTTACCTCAATACATTAGAAGAATCAGTAAATCCTAAAAGCTTCACACCCTTTTCTGGTTTGAACTTAACAGCCTCCCACTCTGCAGAGGATATAGGAACTATTTGAGGTCCATAACGATAACCTTTAATTCTTTGATCAGGAGGGACAACTTTATCATGATCGTCAGAACTCTTGTACTCATAATCTACTTTGACTTCACGTGTAGCAGATTTATCATTTGGAGGAGCTTTATCAGAATATTTCTTAAGAATTGGAAATTTCTCTTCCGCTGTTTTCTTGTATACCATTACCTGATTATCATTAAAGTTTTCATGAAAACAAAATTCATTTTTTTCTAAAAATGTTTTATTTAAAAAAACCAATTGGATAAATAATCATGGAGCATCTACTTGCTTAACTGAGAAAGAAAAATATAGAAACAATAAACACATAATCTTCAACTGTAAATTCTGTGCACACATCTTGATATACATAACTCAACAAATCATACTCACTACTGTAACATCAAGTTAAAAATAGAAAATTGCAGTACCAAAAAATGAAGCAGGAAATAAAAGAAACATGATGTGAAATATTAAGATGCTATTGCTGATGCAAGAGAAACCAACATTGATTATGCGCTTCCATGTTCACTTTGCCTCAAAATGTTCAATTTAATTAAAGATCCATATAGTCCATGGACAACTCAAACTTGGAGCATTTAATGATCATTTACAAGAAGAAAAAAAAAAGTATGTATGATGGCATAACAATATTAAATATCAAATAAATACAACAATGAAAATGAGAAACATGTGAAATACAGATGATTTATCAGCTATGATGGGTTCTGTCAGAAAAATAAATATAATAACACTCAAAATGACATTCGTCATGGGCCTGGGAATTAAATTTATATATCATACTGCAGATATCACCTTAATCCTCAGTTTTGGGCTGAATTCAAGATCCCCTCTAAAAACTGTAGTTGGAGTTATATTTCGGGTTCTAAGAGCACCAAACAAAGAAATTGGATTCTCCACATACAACAATCTTGTTGACGTCTCCTTTGAAAAAATATTTAACAGGCGATCATTCTCATCCATTATTCTCTTGTCTGCATCTTGACTAAGCTTTCCTCTCATAATTATACTTTCCATTCTCATACCATGGACAGTCATTTGTTTAGCAATGGTGGTAACTTGATCTTCTTTTGTTCCTTCAACAGATTCTTTTATTGGACATTGTGCATTGGTAATAAGACAAAGACGTTTTTTCCCCTTGTTAGTTTCTCCAAAAAATTTTATTAACATATCCATGCCAACAATTATAGCATCAAGAACTAACATCAAAGTCAAGGTATCCAAACAGGGTAAAAGAGAGCTGATCAGGTAAAATTCATGGCAGGAGGAAAGGACCAACTTCCTCTCGTAAAATCAAATAATTAACCTTGAAAAGTTATACTACAGATTAATCCCTTCAATTTTAATAAGACAAACAGAATGGTATTCAGGAAAATATTAACTCGGTATACCAATCATCCAAGAAAATATTGTTAGAAAAGGTGTAATTCTTGAAGAAGCAATTAAATTCAATAATGGAACCAAAGATTTTTGTTTATGTAAATAATTACTATATAGCCAATTATTATAAAGAAAAAAGGAATCAAAATGAAAGATAAATGGCATTGTGTAGTAAGCTGCAGAAATCAGAAACGCAAATCTATAAAATCGTATAGTCTAAAAAGCAAAAAAATTGCAAAAGGAGATATTTTAATGACAGATGGTCTGGTTTTTTGCCAGGAATGAATATTTTATCGTTGGTCAAAAAAGTATATAATTTTTTTTTCTGGCAAAACATAATTAAAAAAAAAAGACATGGTAATTAACAAGTAAAAAAGTACAGAATATAAAAACCAAGAACTTTGTGGATACAATCACCGTCAGTAGTTCCTTGAGGCAGCTGTTGTAAAGCCTCAACAATATCTCCATCAACAACTTTAATATTTTTCAAAACCACAACATGTTGATACCCACCCACTTCGGTAGTAAGTTCATTATCAGTGTCTGGAAAAATGTAAACATAAACATAGGTGAGGGAAGCCTTTGATCAAACTCCATCACAGGAAAATGATTGAATTAAAGAAAATGAATAGAAAAGTACAAGCAGGATTCTTCCTGCTACACATTGCAGCATGCATAGTAACAGTAACAACAGGAAATCAAAATGGAAAAACTGAAATGTAGTTGACAAAGATTCTATTCAGACAACAAAACACAACAAAGTGGAAGATAATCAAGGAAGATCCAATGATTTCTTACTCTCAGTTTCCTGACAATTTTCAGTGCAAGGAAAATTTTGTCATAACATGACAACAAATCAGTGATGAAACAATAAACACCAAGTCAACATCATGCATTGCATATTTGCATATTTGCATCATAAGGATTAAAGTAAGTACCTTTTGTTCCAAATAAGATAATTCCCACTTCATCATATTTGTTATAGATCAACTGCACATAAAAATAAAAAATAAAATCATGTTATTGAAGCTCTGAGTGAACAAAACCAAACACAAGGTTGGGATAACAACAACAAAAATTTAAACTTTGAATAGAAAAGAGGGGTGGGCAATGATTAATACCTTCTTCTGTACAAGCATGGAACAGACTTTCTCAATCTCAGGAAGAACAGAATGCATGGATGGGCCAACATCAAGCAGCAAAAGCAAAGCTTCCTTTTTTTTTGCATAATTTGATTATAGCAATAACAAAAAATATACACATTTATGCATTCAGAAGCAGTGAAATGTATAAAACCCTAAACCAAGAGGATTGAAGTTGGGGAATGCAAAAGGGTGTCGAGAAAGTATGAAAAAATCGTACCTTGTTTCGAGCCATGGATGGAAAAGCAGAGATAGGGAGCTTAAGCTTGCAGAAGAAGATGGGTTACTTATTGATCTTCCCGCTTCCAAGGGTGAGCTTAAGTACCAAAGTCAAGTCACGCAAAGGTCCCACAAATCCAGAATTTTGTGTTGTAAGAAAAAATTGATGTAACTATAAAATAAAATAATAAAAATAAAAATAAAATTGGACACAATTTACACTAGTTCAGATTCTATAAATTCTTCAATAGGATTTTTATAAAAATAAGGTGTCATTTGGGCTAGTAATTTGGACACAATTTATTTGTATTTTTAGAGTGGGATTGTCTGGGGTTGTTGAAAAATAAAAATGAAAGTTGATTTTAGAGGTTAAGTAGAAGGTAGAATGAGGTATTTTCTTTTTAAATAAAAAAAATTAATATTATAATTACACTTTTGAAGATTTTTTTAACTTGGTATGATTAAAATATGTAATTTCTAATTAGTTATACTTTTAAATTGTGCAAATTTTACGAAATGTTGATTATATTCATGAGTTTTTATATATATATAATAAAGTTATAGATATTAAACCTGACTTATATATGTTTAATTTTTAATATTTATTCTATAAATTAGCAGGAAGCCAAAGCGTTGACCTCGTAGAAAGTCCCTAGAGCGTTTCTCAATGCCATCACATAACTTAGTAGGAAGCAAGCAGGATTGCATTATATATGTTGGAATAGAGACCAAAACATATAGGAATAAGGTGGACCTATCAGCCATAGATAAGGAGGCTATTTTCCAATTACATAATTTCACATCCATCTTCTGTAAAACATGGTTGAAATGATTGGCATTGGCTCTGACATTCAAAAAGTGAATACCAAGGTATTTGCCCAAATCTGAGGTTGGAGAAAAGCCCAGCACCTAGGCAATTTCAGTTGCTCTAAAATGGTTCATATTCCTTGAGAAAAAAACCATTGATTTTTCGCTACTCACCTTCTGCCTTGATGCCTTACATAAGCATTTAAGGATCCTTTCAATGAGCACTGCTTGTTCTAAAGAAGCTCTTGCAAAAAGAAGTAAATCATCAACGAAGAAAAGGTGACTAATGGAGGGACCTCTCCTCTTAAGAACCACCGGTTTCCATTGCTTATTGTTTAGAACCTGAAGGATCAAATGAGCAAGTCCTTCGATACATAGGACAAAAAGATAGGGAAATAAGGGATCTCCTTGTCTAATTCCCCGTGTTGGATTAAAGTCCCTAGTGGTGGATCCATCTCAAATAACATTGAGGGTGTATAAGAGACACATTCCATTATCAAATTAACTGATTCAACCGAAAGCCCAGCTTCACCAAAAGTGATTCGAAGATAATTCCAATTCACCCTGTCATAGGCCTTTTCAAGATCCACTTTAATGGTCATCCATCCTTTATGGCCCTTCTTGATCCTCATAGAATGGATGATTTCTTGGGCAATAATAATATTGTCATTATTGTGCCTTCCTTTAATGAAACTACATTGATTGGGAGAATTAGAGAGCTAAGGTGAGGTCTCAAACGGTTAGGCAGAACTTTTGTGACAGCTTTGAAAATAACATTATAGAGGTTGATTAGTCTCAGATTCCTAATTGTGTCAGGCTTCTCTATTTTTGGAATAAGGCAGAGGAAGGACTTATTGAGGGGCCTCACTCGTGTTGGATCTTCAAAGACTAATTTAATAAGCCTACAAAAAGAGTTGGTAATGGTATTCCATTGAGAATGGAAGAATACTGCTTGCAGACCATCGGGACTTGGGGCTTTAAAAGGATTTATCCTAAAGAATACCTCTTTTATTTCTAAATCATAGGGCAATGGGTGCAGCTGGTGAAAGGAAGGGCTGATAATCCTAGGGAATCAACCAGCAAGGGAAAATGTAGAAATAGGAGGCCCCTCATCCGTGTACACTCTTTCAAAGAAATCGACAACCATGTGCTTAAGAGCTTCGGGCTCTCCTATCTAATTATCATGCTCATCATTCACGTGAGAATTCTATTTCGACGCCTTTTAGATAGAGTAGCGGTGTGCTAAAACCTTGTGTTTGTATTCCCATTAATCAGCCACTCACATCTTGAACGTTGGAACCACATTAATTCTTCCTGCATATAAATCAGATTGAGTTCCTCCCAAAGATTTTGTTGTAGTATTTCCAAGGCATTGCTGGTGTGATGCTGCAGCTCCTCATCAAGTCCAAGGATACGGGCATGAAGATGAAATTTCCTGTGAAGATGGGCTTTGAAATGAGTTTTATGCCACCAAGTAGCTTTTGGTTGAAAGGTATGAGTAGCTAAGCTCCACTGGTTATTGTCATTCCAATAACTTTTAATTACCTCCTCGAAACCGTCACAAGTAAGCCATAAAGCCAAAAATTGAAATGGAATGTTACTAGGCTTATTCACAATTCTATTTCCTTCCTAAATCAGTAGGGGCCTATAGTCTGAGGAGAAGAAAGGAAGATAAAAGACATATCTATCAGGAAAGGAATTTGCCCGAGCATCATTAACAAGAACACAATTCATCTTTTCTTGAAGTTTATCCCTTTTCCAAGCAAAGTGGGGTCCCTTAAAACCAATATCTATTAGATTGCAGACATTGATGCACTCCTGGAATTCAATCATGATTCCTTCACAAAAAAACTCCTCCCACTTTCTCATTGGGGTTGCTAATGGCATTGAAGTCACCCGTTAAAAACCAAGAACCAACCACCGAAGCTTTGAAATCAATAGCATTATCCCAAAAGGATCTTCTATCACCACGTCTTGGACTTCCATAAATGAAGGTTGCAGACTCAATGATGTTGGAATGAAGCCATCTTAGAGTCGCATGAGTACAATGACGATTGTGATCAATGATGGAGACATCCACCAAGGATTGGTCCCACAAGAGCCAGATTCCCTCGAAGAAACCAATGGCATCATTAATACGATAATTACTAAAACCAAGTTGTCTAATGCGTCTAGCAGCTGATGTTCCACTAATACAGATTTCAGTTAATACCAGAATCTTAATATCATACTTCTTAATCATTTCTTCGATAAGTAAAACAAAGCCCTTCATGTTGTCCCCACGACAATTCCATGTGCAATTATTCATGGACATCATCAAAAAACAAAACGGAGTAAAAAAATTCGAGTGAACCCATCACTACATACTGAGGGGTATACATGCCCCTGCAGCAACTTTTCATCAGCTTTTCTCACCAAGTTAGGGTTTTCTTAGGAGAATCTACGTAACAATTCAACGGCATCGAGAGGCTTATTGTGAGGAGTAGCTTCTGCTTCATGCATTACAACTTCTCTATGCTCTGGCGTGGCAGTGCCCAAGTGAACCATTTAAGGATCTTTATCCATAGTTATCCCCAAGTTAGTCCCTGATTGTTTCGGCTCGCTGTTATCCAGTCAAAATATGGTAGCATATATGGTCAACTATGAAAATCAAAATTTACCTTTTACTTTTCTACTCCAAACTGATCACTTTTGATTTTAACAAAGGTAAATTTTCTTTTTCATGTGAGGATTTCTCCAAGGAATTCGTCCTACTCTGCATGTTTCCAGTCTTACCTTTTGAGCTTAGCCTCGACTCAATCACCTTCCTTTCTCCTTCTGATAACCTATTTTGTTCCCTACCCTTGTAATAGCCTGAGGTTGTACGACTTTGACAGTAACATGCCCCCCACTAAGTTTCATCTTCGAAGAATGCATGGTGGCCACCAGAGTCGTAGGCGTCTTTTTCCTTCCATCAACTATGGAATCTGACAAAGGTCATGTAACATCCCGGGCGCTGACGAGGGCGGGGAGTGATCGCCGGTGCGAAAGGGCATGGTGCGAAAGGGCACAAACAAGGAGCGGCTCCTGGCAGGCTTCTAGGGACGGGGGTACATGAATGAATCGAATCAACACTCGAAAGAGAGGGATTCCAGAGACTGTGCTGGTATGGGACGGTACAGTTGGGAATGACTTATAAGAATTAATTGGTCCTACCTATACTAACAAGATGCATCTACTTTTCGGCAGCCCGGAACAGAAGAACTCCACAGTTAAGCGTGCTTGACTTTGAGCAATTCTGGTATGGGTGACATACTGGGAAGTTTTTCCGGGAAGTGTGCGAGTGAGGACAAAGCACGTTGAAAAGTATCGTGTTAGTGTGTGGGGACAGTCGTTGATCCTTGCAAGTTGCCAATTGGAGCAATTCTGGGATGGGTGACCTCTTGGGAAGTTTTCCCGAGAAGTGTGCGACTGAGGAAAAAGCACGCTAAAAAGTATCGTGTTAGTGTGTGGGGACAGTCGCTGATCCTTGCAAGTTGCCAGGCGTTACAGTCTAACTTTGTGGCCTTTAGGCTTTATTTTAACGACCATCCAGGCCCCAAAAGCATATTTGTCATATTTGGTTTTCACTTCTATCTCCTCATTAGCATTATCTGGTTTGTTGCATTCTTGTCTAGAAGTAACGTTACCTCCATCTGAGCTCGTACTGGAAGAAGAGCCATTAACTTCATTCTTGTAATCCAAACCACCATCGCAAGCCTCCTTTTGATGCCCATATTTTCCACACAAAAACATATTAAATGTAACCCTTCATAGCCAACATTCAAGATGACCTCCTCATTATGAATATAATCTCAAATCTTAAATCTGGACACAAAGCTTCGACGCAAATCTACTTCCACGTATATTCTAGTGAATCTAGCCTTATCAGTATCTCCATCTCCATCTTCTTCTCTCCGAAAAGAAGCCTTGTCTGTTAGGATTGTGGTTTCCATACTCAAGAGGGGGTGAATTAAGTTTTACAATTTTTTTGCAAAATCCTTCTTTTAGTTTCTAAATTATCATTTCAAGAAAACTATGATATATGAGAAGCTAATTAATTAATTCAAGCAATCCATAACATATAATCTATCACAATTATATAACATATACTAGCATATACAAGATATCAAAGAAGAAATTAAAGTGGTAGAAATAAAGAATTTAGAGTTTAAAGAATTGCAAACACAATATATCCTGGTTCGGTCACCACTACTTGTGACCTACGTT